TGATCAAACATATGACATCTTACATCTCTATACAATTTATATATACGTCGTTACATCTATGCCTTTTGAATTCGTTAAAGAAAATGAAAGGAAAATTATTTTATAAAAACAAACGGAAGAATTTATGAGATTGGGAGGGAGTAAGTTTAATGAAAAAAAAAAAAAAAAAAAAAAAATCATTTTAAATAACAAGTTGATCTCGTTTCATTTAATTAAGATGAAAATTTGAAAAATTGTTGTTTTTTTGTTATTTTAAGTTTTATTGAAATTTGTTTACATGAATCGTCAATACTTGAATGCTTGAAACATTCCTTTGTTATACATCCTTTTTCTTATCCTTTCTTCCTTTCTGTCTTCTTATTTTTCTTTTCTTTTCTTTTCTTTTCTTTTCTTTCTTTCTTTCTTTCTTTTTTTTTTTTTTTTTTTTTTTTTTATATATATATAAATCAATTTTATAAAAGAACATCTCAGTTTCATATTTCCAAGATTTTACTTTTACACAAAGAAAAGAAAGAAAAATTGACGTTTCCGAATTATGTAGTTTCAATTGAATCGAGCGGGTCAATTGTAGATCGGTTGAAAAACGAATCGTAGATAAATTTGATGTATTTAAACTATTTCTAAAAGTGAGTTAAAACGAAAAGAAAAGATTAGGCAGAATAATTAAAATGAAAAAAAAAAAAAAGTAAAAAAATGAAATACGGATGATAATTGACTATAGATTTAAATAAATAATTTTATTAATAAAATAGTAAAAAGGAGAGTAATTGTAACGACGAAAACCCAAAAGTATTTGGCTTAGTATGGCTGTGTTTAGGGCAGTGTTGTAAATCTGAAAGTGGTATACCTTTTTTGGTAGTAAACTCTTTAAGTGCGGACGTTTGAACGCTGTAGTGTACCAACCCGACGATCGCGACCTATGCAACAATAAGTTTTATCGAGTGGTTTCATTAATATTATAATAACTAATAAAAAAAAAAAAAACGGCACAATTCTAAGAAATTCTGATTCGTTTGTGAGCGAATTGTGAAAAAAATTGTGTATGTGACAAATAAAAAAGAAAGAAAAATGTGGTGCTCTCTTTCTAGAATTAGTTCGAGGACATAATTACGTGTGTAAAAATGAATCTTAAATGTTCTCAAACGTCAAGGAAGAGATGGCTCGTAAATTTGCAAAAACTTGTTTCCGTAGTTCGATAAAAAGAAAGAAAGAAAGAAAGAAAGAAAGAAACGGAAGCAGTTTAAACGTCGGATTTGTTGGTACGTCTGCGTTCAATGACAATTTATTATTGTAATGAAAAGCGAATAATGATACAATGCTATATATAAATATATATTACACGATTTGTTTTTTTTTTTATATTATTAAACAATATAGATCGCGGTTACATTATGATGAAGTAAATATTAATTAATTAATTAATTATTCGATAGATGATAAATGCAAACAAAACTATTGAACATAATTATTATAATTACGCTATTATTATTGAAATACCGATTATAGAGTACTACCTTTTATTATGACATTTCATAATTAGTGAATTGATTATCTAATTAAAAATTAATGAGACACGAATGTAACATTTATCCCCTCCCCCCCCCCTCTAAGGTAAAAAAGGAAAAAAGAAAAAACACGCCATTCTTCATCCCAGTTTTTTTTCTTTTCCCGGGAAAAAGTCTCGAGAGGGACGGAGAAAATTTTCTCTCGACTCAGCCCCGAATCCTGATCCAACACTGCATCGGTCACGATAAATGTACAATATTTAATGATGCGCTTTCCTTTATTTATTTTTTATGATGGTGAAATTCTCGTCGTTCTCGCTGAACGAGACAAACGGATATGGAAAGAAAAGACACTGTCACCGTCGCCATTCAGATACACATTTTTGTATCTCCTGTTGTAAAGACCGTTCGCAGAGTGACTTAGGAAAAACTTTAGTTAACATCTTGTTTGCCCCCGTGTTCGCTATTCCTTTTGTAAACGCGTTTTGTAAAATATATATGTTCGGTTTAGATGTGTGAAAGTTAGCCTCCACGATCCATTCGTAGAGGGAAAAGTGAATTTAGGTTTTTGCTACAGTTTTATACTCTTGGACGTCAAAAAGACTTCGTTTTTCTCTTAACAATTTGTAACGTAGATAAGGATACTGTATGTTGATGTTCAATGAATATTTAACCGAATATTGTTATATTATTATTAAAAAAGAAGTTTTAAAAATACATTCCATTTTTATTTTTCTCTCAGCTCAGGTTCTGTATATGTACATACGTGTATCGAAAGACCAAGATCCTTTTTTAAGAAGTATTTCTTATTAATAGTATTTATATATAATCGCGTAAAGTAGTAAGAAAAAAAAAAAAAAAAATGAATTATTTTTATCTTATCTTTCGGACAGAACAGATCATTTTATCCCTAACATACATCGAAATACCTTGATTCTCTGTCATTACGCGTGTATTCCTTAATAAAAGTACATATTTCAATATTCAACAATCCGAAGAACTAAAGTTTTTCTGTTAACTCTGTTACATTGGCGCCTTACTTACTCTCACTTACTTGTTTATCTCCTCCCCTCTCCCAAAAAACTAAGTATTAAATAATCATTTCTACTATTTGTATATTATTTATTTACAATTATTCTCAGCACATGTACGATGGTCTCTTTCTGACTTTTTTCGAAATCGAAATTTTTTCTCACGAGTATATATATATATATATATATATATATATATTATATATATATATATTTCGTACGATACTTGTACGTGAAATTCTATCAACAACAACATCTAGCGTTTAAACGCATGTGTACCCTTGTCTCGACCTGTCTCGACAAGTTGTACGGATTCTCAATTAAACAAGGATATATATATATATATATATATTTTAGTTCCATCTATGGCGGAAAAACAAAAGAAAGCGAGAACCAAAGTATAGATTGATCTGGCTTCCGTCGAAGATATCTTGCTTTCGAAAATTCTCATAGGTTTATAGTTATTTCGACTAAAATGGGACTAAAATATGCAACGAACGCAGCGTGTCTTCTTTCCTTCTGTTTCTTCATCCTTCTATTTATTCTTGTTGCGTTCGTCGAATCTCCTTTCCTTGGATGTAAGGACTAATCACTTATCTGATTACAGCGCATAATGTAACAACGTAAACGAAACTGGCACGTAAGAGTTATACATATATGTGTATATATTTATACATACGTACCATTAACACAATATGATAAATCTGACGAAATAAAGTTTACGTATACTTATTTGAATATTGGAAATTGTACCTGTATGATCTCGATACCTTTCTCGCGGTCATTTCTCACATTCTTATTTCGAGTTCGACTTCTGTCGCGATTCACGTTCAAACTCATTTTTATTTATACGACATGTCATTCGTTTCGTTGCCTTTCATGTACACGAATCTATTAATGTATATTTTTTGCAAATATTTTATAGTTGTTCACGAGGATTCGTCGATATATCCTAAAGGTGATCAAGGAAATGTGTGATCGGTAATCGATCGAAGAAAGAATTTTCACGTGAAATTTCGTGAGGATTTTCGTTTCTTTCGTTGACCGAAGTCCGAAGCGATTGTTGCCCGCCGGTTCTTCCGCCTTATCTGTCTTTTTCACAGCGACGAATCCTTGTTGAACGATATCGTTGGACGGATAACAAAAGAAGGAAGTTCAGAGTCCCCCATTCAGATTTACACATATATATATATAATATATATTATGTTTATACAGTATATTTATATTATTGCACACATACGTTCTATATACATATTGTACACACATATACAGACACACGGTACACGTGTAACAATATTATTACAGAATATTATTATGGAGAGATCGTGTCTCCGTCGATGAAGAAAGCTCAATGTATAGAGGTATATAGAGTATTATAACGAATAGCGAGCTGTGAGAAGTTTTCTAACTAGATGTTAATACAGACGTATGCTTCTTAAACTCGCACTCGTATCGTCTGTGACGATCAGCGCGATGTGAAACATTTCGAGTACGCTAACCGGAGCAATATTCGTCCAGTCGAATAGATTTAATAAAACGAAACTCTAAATAACAAATTCCAACTGTACACGAGTCTCCGTTTTATACCGTACTTACATGTCAAATAAATGTACTTGTCTGTAAAATGTATCGCGAATCCTTTTGTACTGTATTGACGCGACTTTGATAGTGAAGCATTCCATGTAAACGTATTTGTTATATTTATGTAGAACAAACTCTGATTTACGCTATTCGTTTTCAACTTTATACGATCCCTTATATATATATATATGTTTCGTTTCGACAGCTGGTTTGCGACACCGATTTTACCATCGCGACGGAATTGTATAGAAAAAAAAAAAATATTTAATAAACGATTTATGGATTATTCGACTTTGGATTGTCTTCATAGAACGCGATCCCTCTTAAGGAATATTGTTAATTAGAAACGAAGGCTAGGTTTAAATATCGATCGACCTCTACCGCGTTAAGCATTGAATTGCAAATTAGCTGAGCGATATCCCTCTCTTTGTCCATTCTTTACTTATCTATATCTATTAACCACGGTAATTGCTTAGAGCTGTCGAGTTTCGAGTCCCAAATCGATGTCGGTGTACAATTAAATATGACAAAATGAAAATTTGTTTTATCGCACGTTCGCAATTGCATGCTTGTAACAATTTATGTTAACAATATGTAAATATGTTTTGTTAATATAGACATTAATGTTTTGCGCGATAGTTCGCAATTCAAAGCCGCGAATCGATCGAAATTTCTAGATTCCAGAATGATTTCCCTGTAATCTGAATATGCATCGCAAATAATAGCTTGCGAGAAAGCATTAGAATATAATTTAGAATACAGTTTAAAACAAGATAAGAAAATTTTTGTTTTTGTATATATATTTATTTATTAAATTATTCATATATTGCAGTTATAATTTTATCATTTATTTACGCATAAAAATATGTGTATTAAGAGACGAAATGGTATTTAATATTGATTTTAAAACTTCTTCGCGAATTCCTTTGTTCTCTTTGTTGAATTAGACTGACAACTTTCAACTCGAACGCAATGCTGCGCCATTTATTCAGGTCACGAGACGATGCGTCATGTAGATCTGTTAATCAAATGAATCCAAACAAATTTTCATAATACGAGCAACAATTTGATTTTCAGAATGATTCAAAATTCGATATATAGATTGAAGCATATGATTTTATATAACAGATATATGCATAGAGAAAAGCGTGTGTCATCGATGATGTTTGATACGGTTTGGCATGCGTGGCCAAGATGGTGGTGGTAATGGAGGCACGACGACGATAGTTAGACTTCTCTGTATATCATCGTCTCGCTTCGGTGTTCCTCTTTAATTCTTCTATAACTCCTCAGAGGGTGTTTATCGTTGATGATGTACGTTAGTAGTGGAATGCTATTGATGTGTTAGTCGTGCATCATCGAAGAGAGATCGCTAGATGGTCGGTATATCTGTGAGATCGCTGCTGTGCCGTCCGAAAATAGATAAATGAACGACGAGCGTGCCATCCTTGTTGTCGGTGGTTCCACGCACTCTGTAACAATGCACAATTATTAAAAGTTTATAACCAACGCCGGATAGGAATGGAGGTACTCAAAACCAGTCAAGAGATTGTTCATGAAGGGTGGCTCATTAAATCGCCACCTACCAAACTTTGGCGAGCGGTTAGTATTTTACAAAATAATGACAAATTCGAAATTTTATTTTTCTCATAAATTTTTTTATTGTTTACGTACTCAAATACTTGTCAAACGATTATTATTTGTATCTCGTTCAAATTTTTTAGCGTCTAACCTCGTATGTTGAAAAATGTTTCATAAGTGTGGAATGTTGTGATATTTTTATCCAAGAATGCTAACGTTGTAAATAGTTTTTCAATTATATTTAACGCAAACAATTTTATATGATATATATATAATGGTTAAATTTAAATGATAATTTAAATATATGAATTATATCAATCTTCTTTAAATAAATTAAATAATGACATTATTGTTTATATTTTTAGCGATGGAGGAAAAGATGGTTTGCTCTTCGACATAGTGGAGAATTACCTGGGCAATATTTTTTAGAATATTATACAGACAGACAATGTAGAAAATTAAAAGGCCGTATTGATCTTGATCAATGCGAACAGGTAGTTGTTTATTATAAAATAATAAAATAAATTTAATAGATTTTATAATTTTATTTATATCTTAAAAATTACTTATATTTTCAAATAGGTAGATGCAGGCTTGAGATTTGAAAATCGAAAGCAAAAGTATCAATATATGTTCAATGTTAAAACACCAAAAAGAACATATTATTTAGTGGCAGAAAGTGAAGCTGATATGAACAAGTGGGTAGATGCTGTATGTCAAGTTTGTGGTTTAAAGGCATACACTCAAGATGAGGAACAGCAATGTCAAAGTATATATTATAATTATATATTATAATATATATATATTTATATTATAATAATATAACATTTATTTAATTATTTAATAAATTAATGATAGAAAAAAATAAATAAATTATTAAAAATTTAATACAAACAAAATTTTATATGATATTATAATTTTTTTATAGTGTTCCAGTTTGAAACGCAAGAGTCTCCACCAATTTCACCCACAAGCACTATCTCTGGTCCTTATATTCCTATTAGCGAATGTATTTCTGGTCGACGAACATTAAACGATACTAGTTCTCTCAATTCAGCTTTGGGACAAGGACCTGAACATTATGATGCCCCAAGACGATTAGTACCTTCTCCTCCTAGATCTCCTACAACAACTGATGCGGAAAGTGTCTTCACTGATGATGAATGGACAGCTCCAGTGCCTAGCGTAAATTGGGAAACTTTTCCTTCTACAGGTAAATATCAAATATATACTTCTAACTTAATTTGTCAAATGAATAACATTAATTTTTTTATAATAGGTGAATCCAAACAATCTGGATCGAGTGATGCCGAAATTGGTTCTTGGAGTGTTCGAAAACGATTCGGAAAATTAAGAATTGTAGATTCTACTCTACCACTTTCTGTAGAAAAGTTACCAGCACCTCCTAGACCACCAAAACCTCCTCATATGTTACCTGAAAATCCTGGTCACAACTATTTAAATTTAGATGGTGCTACAGAAAGTTCAAAACCCACAACTCCAGCGACTCCTGCGCCGTCAACACCTGCAACTGCAATTGTAACGGACGAATCGTACGATTTTCCAAGATCTCATCAACCAGGAGCACCCGAACCAAACACAATAGACAAACATTTTTACTCTAATGCTGCTCCAAGCAATATTGAAGATGCACGCGTATTCCGTTACGATTTTCAAGAAGAAGAACCATCAAGTCCACGTTCTGAAAGTTCAACAACTGCTACGTATTCAAATTTACCAAGCCCACTTGTTCGGGATAATTCAACTTCCGTACCGACAACAATGGCACCACCACCACCAGTCGTCTATCGGGAATTAAAGCCAGGAAGAAAAACTAGTGATTCTACATCAGTTATTAGCAATGAACCTTCTCCAGGACCGATAGCATCAGTTTTGGAAATGAGTTCTGCCGAGCATTCTCCTGCCGAACCACCAAGTATCAATAGAAAGCTTAAACCTCCATTGAATAAATCTCCTGTAGAAGGTAGAAATATTTGCATTTTTTTTTCATGCTCCAACTATTACGTTTAAATAGAAAAAAATAAAATCATTTATATTGTAGGACCTTTGCAATTAGCTTCTCCACCTGGAAGAGGAAGAATTAGAGCGGCTCCTAGTCCTACGCCTCCAATTCACGTTCATCCAAATCGACATTTATCGACATCGGACGAAGATAATAATGCTTTCGATGATAAAGAAGAGGTATATAAAAATCTATTTTATATTATATTTATTTAATATCAATTTATATGTGTGTGTTTGTGTATATATTATATTTTGATATAATTTATTTTTCAGATATATTACTATCAAGAGCAAAACACATTTATTCCTGCTTCAAATCGAAGCCTTGTTGTTTTGCAATATCTAGATCTCGATTTAGAAGCAACGGAAAACTTTACTTCTTCAAGTTTACCGCCAACTCAATCTCCTCCAAATACAACAGTATATAAAACAGTGGATTTTTTGAAAACCGAAGCTTTTAATCGTACTCGTCAACGAGTCGAAGAAGAGAGGAAGCAATGTACCGATGAACTGGCATAGTTTTTAGAATTTTATTTTCTAAATGTTTTAGAAAAGAAAAAAAAGAGAAACACAACATTTTTTAAATTGTATATAATATATATTGTTATTATTTAGTAGCACTTTTCGATATTATAAAGCTGCGATTCCTATTCCCGCAGTAATAGTGACCTTTCAAGTGCTTTTTAAATTTTTATGTTTGTTATTGAATCGAAGATTGATTGAAATCTTATATATCATTATTGATGATATATAATAGTTGGAAACTGAAAAGAGCAATATTCAATGGACCAAAAATGTTAAAGTTAAGAAAAAACAATGAAGAGATAAAAAAAGAAAGAACAGTTTGTCGCGAGAATATGAATTGTATTAGAATATGTTAAAGAATTTTTTAATTTGGAAAAAAAGTATTATTACATTAGGGCTAAACTGTTTTTATATATGTCTTAAGAAAGACATTTTTAGACTATGCAATGAATTACGAATAAACGAAATTATTAAAAATTTTAGATATTCTAATTTTAAGTATTAAACAAATAATATGTAATATATTTTCAAAGTGCCTGTTGTTTTTTCTTGCTAGAGTGATAAGTTTTTTGTTATTGCATGAAATATCATATTTATGGTTACAGATATGATGAATATATAAAAGTTGTTTTGCAACTATTTTTTAAGCAATAATATGCTGAAAATTTATATTCTTTTTCAATATTTTTTAAATGGATTTATTTTTAAGTCTAATTTTTACAATTATTATAACAGTGTACTCATTGTACCTGCTGGCACAAATTTATAATGCGTGATAGTAGAAATTCTGGCCATAAAATTACAATGCAAAAAAGACACATATTTTTTAATAGCTATTGAAGCACAGACTATATGTAACTATATGTAACAATTACATATACATATATGTATTAAAAATAATACGTGAAAGTATATTTTATTTATAAAAAAAATACATATATGTTTTACTTTTATAATCATCGTATTGTAATTTTTATACCAATGAAATTTTTATATTACGAAACGAAGTTGTTTGATCTTGTATGACTAATGTTTATCGGGACTTTAAGATTTTTGGTGAACGAGAAAAATGAATAGTGCATATTTGGAACGTAATTTTTTATATAATAATCTTTGAACAAGTACAAAAGATTTTAAAATAACAAATAATATTTTTTTTCTAAATTCGAAGATTTAATTTTAAAATTATATTAATGTATGTATGTTATTTATATTAATACATGACTGCATGATTCAGCATCATCAAGAAGGAAAATGTATTGGTAGTATATTTTTATTTAATAACGTCTAAATAACTTTAATGGCGGTTAGCAGAATTTAATTATAACGCAATGAAAATTATATCGTATATTTATACGATTAAATTAAAATGTTTTTCTATAAATAACCGTCGAATGCTGCAATTATAAATATTTTTCAATTTTGTTTATGGTATAATAATGCAATGTCAAAACAATATGCAATATAATAATGCACAAAAAAGAATAATCTGCAAATGTGTTGGAAAAAAGTATAAAATTGAAGATTATAAAACGAAAGAAATGTTTGGTACTTGTTTTTACTAATCATTTTCATTTGCAGTTATGCAAAATGTTTATCGATATTAACAGTTAACAATCATTTATGATTCAATAGCGGCATTTATTTCGAAACATGAGTTGAAAGTTGTTGATGATGATATTTATTGATAAAAACAAAGACGATTTTGCATATCTTGCGCTATAGTATCGTTAGTCGATAAAATACGCTGTTATATCGACTCGACACAGGAAAGTCGTTAAAACATTCTCGCATATACTGCCAGGTTATTGGCCCGGTTGGTGGTTGGTGGGACTGATGGAAAACAGAGCCTCATTCGCTCGCTAACCGTCGAGCGTGCGTTAGTTTTGTTTGTTTTCGGGTTCGACGTGCATATTGTTTTTCTGCGTCGTGGAACAAAATTGTATCGTGTAATATCAAAGGCTTTATATCGCGACAAGTAATATTCGTGGGGGTGTTTTTTCCTTTTGTGTTGAATCTGTGAAGTATTGAATATTGTGTTTTATTTTTCTAACCGTTTTACCGAAAAGTGCGCTTTGCGACTTTGTGCGACCGGCCTTGTTTTACTTTTGGAACTGAAGCAAACTCGACGAACTGGAAGGTTCTGAAAATCGTAGCAGCATTTCGAGCTTTATTTCCAAAGTAAGTACTCAGTATATTGTATATGTTGAAACGTGTATTACGATGCGAATTCCACGTGATGATGTATTACCACTTGTTGGCTACGAAAATATCTATTGATTAACGTTGATTGAAATTTAACGTCAAAATGTCATTTTTTTTCATCGTGAAATCTAACGTATGATAGCGAGTATAATTCTACCAAAATAAAATATATATTTATTTATTTTTAAATTATTTTGTGAAAGAACGATCTTTCAAAAACATTTGATCGAAATATGAATAAATAAATTTTTTATCAAATAGAGTTAGTTTAGATAGCTATTAGTTAAATTTCTTAGTTAAATTTCTTTTCGAGCAAAAAATAAATTCAAACTGAATCATAGCTATATGTACAATACGGCGCCTTTCTCACCCACTTGTGGATTTTCGAACTACATAAATACATAACCAACGAAACGATTCATTCCTTATCCTTCTTTTCGGTGCACATTCATCACGAATATTTAAAAAAAATACATATTAATATTAACTTTTTCTATATTTATCATAATTTCACTAGAATTGGAAAAATCGTTAAATCAATCAAGAAAGATTAACTTTAGATTCTCGTTCAATGTCGCAGCCATTTTATTGTCATTCTATCATTTTCTTTACTATAAAATTAACGAAAACTCGTACAATTAGTTTCTCGAGTAAATTTTAGTTTCATCAGGCTAACAATGTTTATGGTTTCCCTTGTACATGCAACGCTATTTTGTTATGCATTCAACATTGTTGTTGCATTATTGGCGGTTATTGCGAAGCGCATCGGAATAAGTGAGAAATTCTCATGCACAATAACGATCATTATCGGTAACGTTCTTCGGCGGAGCGTAATACAACGCGTGCATTCTTTCTTCGACTTTCGTAATACCTTTCTAATGAAAAAATCGAACTTGGAATTAGTTTTCAATGAACGATCCCAATTCGCCTCTTACATCACGGATATTCGATTTTTCTTTTTGTTCAAATGAGTGGCGTACTTGATTATTTCGAAACGGAAGAAAAGGTTCTTTGATCTGTATAATTAAATGAAAGATCCAGCAGCCTTCTTGTGGAATGCTCTTTGAACTCGGTCGATCGAGAAACGAAAATGGATCGAAGAAATCTCCGAAAATAGATGCACCCCGATAGCCACCGCTTTGAATCCCATAATAGTTTGATAATTCAACGCCGTTCGGAACGAAAAAAAAAAATATCTACTCTTCTTCGATATTGGTTTTCTTTTGATGGGTCGTGGTTGGCGTCTTGTTATCTCGTGCGGGGCTTCGTCAGATTCTTTTGTCAAGGGAATACAAAGTTCAGAGTTTTTCTCCTATTTCTTACCCAGACGAATAAACTACCAACACATTATTCTTCGCTTCCTACCGATGCGCCATTGGACTGGCCGTGGAATAGAAATTGAAAGAGTCGCACAAAGAGGTTCGAGCTCATTGAAAGCTTATGACGAAGTAACGTTTTGAATCAACTATTGACTCTTTTCACTACCATTTTTTCTCATTTATCGTATTCAATTTTTTTCTTCTTCACGAAAAGATAATTTCGTGGAATTGAAACATACGAAGAGTTTCAAATGATTCGTAACGAGTCGATCCTTCCGGATCCTTCAATCGGTTTTCTAGCTTCGATTCTTCGAAATCGGAAGTTTTTCCTCCGCATTCCAACCAGCTCTGTCGCGTTTTCTTAGGACCGGTTTATACGTATCCTTACAGGGCTGCAGGTACACGGACTTATAAAAAACTCACGCCCACGCTGAAAGCAGGATTTATAGCCGCCATTCACTCGTTCATCTTTCATTCGAAATGGATTTCTTAATTTCCATCATCCATTCCATCCGTTGTTGAATCGAGACTCGAGACATGTCGCTGTCGCTAAAAATATTTGTTTTGTCACCCGTGATGAGATGCACGTTCACCGTCTGATGTCTCCTTTCGATTCTTGATTTCTCCGCGAACGTTTGCAGAAAAATTGCAGAATGCCACGTGTCTCTCGTGGCTATTGAAAACAACGTGGACCGATGGTGGCAAGCACGTAACCACTTTACGTGTAACTAAAGCCCACAATTAACAGGACAATTAAGCATAGTTATAACCGTCGTTGGGTTATTGCATTCGTACTTGGACCATTCGTTCATTCTGTAATTCGCAAGATCAACACGCGTTAGCATACTCGTAAAATTTCCAACTATTATGCAATCATTCGTGCATCTTCTGCGTAGCGTATTAATACGTGAATTGTGAATAATTTTTTCTTTCTTTTTTTTTTTTTTTTTTTT